TGATCCATATTTTGATAAAAAAAATTTGAAATTCAAAAATAGTGAAAAACAACGAAAATCAAAAAATATATATTTTTAATATATTTGTATCATTTTTATTTTTTTCAACGTCATCTAAAAAAATAGAATTTAAATGTTCAAAGGTCTTTCAAGCGTGTTCAACTTTTCACGCGTCATTTTTAAAATCAGTGTTTTTTCTTATTGAGTTGACATTGATATTACTTGTTTTCAAAAAATACAAAAAAAATAAGAAAAGTCAAATTTAAAAAAGAAAGAAAGTTAGGGAACTAATTTTAAGGCCCAAGCAATATTTTTCCTATAAATAGTAGCCTTTAACACACACAAGATAGGGAGTGATTTTGCACATTTGAGAAAAACACAAAAAATCTAAAAGAAAACCTATCTTTTTCAAAAAAACCAAAGCCGCCGCCTCCCCCGGCTTGGATTTTTTCTCCACACCATCACCTATGGTCCTTGGTGGTTGCTCTCCCAAAATAGAGCCAAGGACCCTTGGCCATCTTCATCTTCTCCACTCAGCCTCCACCCCGTTCCCCATTTTCTTTTCCTTTTCTAGCCAACAACACAAAGCCCCTCCCTTTTGATTTTCTTCTTCCCCATAGCAGCCGATAATAGACCCACAGTCCCCTCTCTCTAGTAGCCCCATACATTGTCCCATCTCCTTCTCATCAACACAAAACTAGTACCTTTCAGCCTCCTCTTTCAACTAGTCGCCGCTCACCCTCTCTTGGCCGACCCAACTTCACCGTAATCGAGAGCAACCCCACAGTGGCTCCTTTCTTCCTTGGTTGACTACCAACAGTAACGCAGAAGCAACACCCACATACCAGCCACACGCATCAGGCCTTCTCCCTCTTAGCCATCGAGAGCACCACCTTCCAGCCCGCAGCTGAGAGATCTTCCCTGTTTCAACCTGCCACGGGCCCCGATCTCCCTCTTTAGCAGCAGAAGACATTTTATGGAATCCAGCATTTCATTGACAATATGGACTGATTCCAAGATATTTCTGCAGACACAACTAAAAAATTAATGTCTTCTCCCAAGTGTAGGAGTGCCGAAGTAATAAATAACTCGGCAAGACCAGGGTCGAACCATAAGGAGGTTAATTGTATAAATTATAAATGACGACAACAACAACAACAACAACAACAACAACAATAACAATAATAATAATAAAGAAAAAGAAGGAGAAGAAAAAGAAAAAGATGAGAACTTTGAGATGGAATATTAATGTAAGGATTAAACAATGATAATAACAAATGTCAAGGTTAGAGGTTCCACTAATAGTATGTCAAACAAGTATAGTATAAACTATTATTATTCAATTGGAAACCATACAAAAAGGAGGTTCCAATCGGATTATAGATTGTTAACATGATCACATTAATTATCTTATTCAATTAATGCTAATACTTGTAAATTTTATCAATCATTTATTGTAAATTTCATCAATCATTCATGATTATAACTTATGTTAACAACAAATCAAGTTCTTTTCATAGCTCAGGTGTCGGTTATACCATACAGTATGGGCTATGAAAGTGCCAAGCATTTGTTATACCAAGTGTTATACAACATAAATCAAGATTAGTCATTTAATAAGCAAAGTATTAAAGAGTGAACAAGATAACAAATACAAAACATGTTAGTATCAAACATTAAAGTCCATATTAAGTTTACACTGTACTTATTCTTACACCATTAGTGTAACCCTTTTACCTTGACATAATAAACTTAGTTAAACATAATAAAAGAAAGAAAAATAAATAAACAAAATAAGAACATAAATAAGATAAGAGTTAACTAAGTAAAGGAAAGGAAATGAAAGACATAAACTTGATATTAATGAAAGCAAAACATAAACATTACAAAAATACAAAGAGAGAAAGCAAGAGCATAATCTTGATCTGGACACAAATATGCCTAAATACATGACAAATGCCTCCTTTTATAGGCCAAAATTAAGAACTATTGATTTGATGACTAATTGAGAAGCAGGAGACCAACTTTTGACTTGGTGACAATCCTTATCGTCTCTTATCTGCCCAAAACATCATTGATAACGTCATTGATAACGTCAAAATTATCTTAGCTTTCTTCTGTAAAATATTTAGATCATTTTGACTTTTAGAACTCCAGATATGGCATAAATACTTAACAGTACTCAAGCTAGAGGACATATTCGGACTTCTTTATTGTCGCTCCAATTTAGACTTGGAAATGACTTTTTTAGATCTTGGGCTACATATGAAAGTTATAGGCCTATGTCTTACCTTTCCATCCATATAAAATAGACCTAAATCTGAGATCTACAACTTCAGATATGACCCAATTACCAAGCAGTGTTCTGGTTTGGACTGCACCGGCATCTCTTTTTCTAAGTTTGGCCATCTCTTTGTCATTTCAATTTCAGTTCTTAAATTCATCAATCAATTCTTTCAGTTATATGATAGGCCTGCATTTAAAATAAATATTTACCATAAATTAAAGGTATCTTATATTATTAGATATATTATTATAAAACATGATTTAGTTAAGGAGTTATTGATACTTCAAGTGCAGAATGATGATATAAAACCTTGATAAAAATGCACTTTTAAGTATTAATCATCTGCCAACAATGAAAGCTAATTGGGTTAAGATGTTTTGAAATTTTATTTTGAAATTTTATATTTTAGATTATATTTTGATGGAGACTCAACTATAAATTATAAATTATATTTTGAAATGTTATTTAATAGATTAATTTTTTGGGTTCAGATTTTTTTAATATGGTATCAGAGTCTTGATGACCAAGTGGTCACGAGTTCGAATCTCACTAACCCTATTTATTTAATAAAAAATTAAGTATAAAATAGTGTGGGTCTGTGCAAGTTTCATGTCCAAATAACTTTTACTTGAGGGGATATGTTAGAGAATAATACAAATTATATTTTGACAACTTATCTAATAGTTTAAACTTTTAAATTAAGATGGTTTTTTGATAAGAATATTAAAATTTTGGTCAAGAAACTACATTCTTGAACAAGTCAGGCCGAGAATAATATTGCAATTGTCTTCTATATTTTTTATTGACCAAAATACTATAAATTCTTTGTTATCTTGTGTTCTTAAAACTATTTCTTAGATTTTAAGAGTTTAAATTTTAGAGCTGAGATGATTTTTTATATTATATTTAATTTTAATAGCAAAGAAATTAATGTGTCAGTTTTTTATTAAATTAATAAAATCAGTTATAAGATTGCAGTCAGCATGCATAAATTTTTAAATTCAAATAAGTGTCAAGTATTAAAAATTAATTTAAAATTATTAAATGAACCTCATTTAAAAATTAAAGATTTTAAGTTGAAATAATTGATGAGCAAATGATAAAGGGGTTAATTGTGAATCTAATAAACAATTTAAATGGAAAGCGTGATTTTTCTATCAGTTTGTCCGAAAATTATTTTGGTCTACGTTTGATAGAATTAGGATCCATGTTATAATTAAAGAGCAGTGAAGATTTGTACTTTTGACCTATTAATTCAGGGTAGTTAACCTTTAGCTAGCCTCGTAGCTGGTTGGTGATCATTTCCATTGCACTCTAGCTATAGTCTTAGCAGAAGGAAATGATGTCCCTTTGGCTTGTAAGAAATAGAATTTAAGGACAATTTGTCATGAACGTGAACCACAATTTTATATTCTATGCTTCTTTAAAGTTGTAGTGTGATCATTGTTCTTATGTACGAGAACAATTAAAGTAGGATTATAACAAATGGAAAAGGGAAAACAAAGAATAATTTACTTTCTTTTTTTTTTATTTGTTTATTTTAGAAGCATGAAGGTGAATCTTGATTTCAAGCTGCAATGTTATGGTTTAACAAACGGAATACATTTTTTACACTGAACTAAGAAAAAAAATTGACATAAATTTAATCTAATTATATTTATTTCTGTAATGATCAATTAATCAAGTTTTTAATGTATAAAAAAAACAAAGTAATAATATATACTTCTGAAATCGGGTTAATTTAACTATTAATGTTGAACAAAATATCAAAGAAGGAGCTCATCGGCATGAATTAACTGAAAAGGAAAAGTGTATTTTAAATGATCAATACCGAGTATTATTTAATTATTTAAAAATAAACAAAAATGTAAGATGGGTGAAGATAGTATGGAATGTTAGAAAGTTGATTTAAATTTTTTTAAAAAATCAAATTAAAATATTTGATTGATATCCACCTCATCTAACATATTAATTCCATGATTTTCATCTGAATTCAACTTTAGGCTAGATGAAATAACATATTAGTTGTTTTCATTGTAAAAGCAAAAACGTTTCCTTGTAGACTTTTCTTTTAGATTGAACATAATACAACATCTGAAACACATCTTGTTGACGTTGATTTACAAAGCATGATCTGACGTTTTATTCTATAGGAGAATAATCATAACTTTATTTTATTCTTATAAAAGAAATAACTTAGACTTCACCTTTATTATATATTCTTATAATAGTTTCACTCTATAAACCAAACACGCAAAACACGGATACTAGTTTACTTTTATTTTTAACAAGGAATAGTTCTTTATAGGGTTCTCAAACGGCTTAATGAAGAAAAACTACAAGCTAGGTTGTTTCTTTGTAGTCATCTCTTGGAAACAAGTTTCTTGTTGACGTTGATTTTGCCAAGAGCTAGCTGTAGCAGCATTCCAATCATTTTGTTAAATTATGAATACACCTAAAGAAGATTTTAGAGATCAATTAAAGAAAACACTACAAACTATAATTTAGTGCTAAGTTAAGTGACTAAAGGAATAAAGAAATCAAACAAACACCAGGAATATTCTAGAAATGAAAGAATGCTTGTCCACAATTCAAAGAACTTGGAATTTTCTAGTGTATTAGCTAAGATTTCAGCAAGTTCTATGGCTGGAAAGATTGTTCCATTTAGATTTTTTAAGAAGGCTACAAATAGCCATGCAATCATCACTTGTAAGGTAACTAAAAACTATGCTAAGCTTAAAACCTTTGTCCTAAAACTCTCCTTCTTGTATTATATTTCCTATCAACAAAGATTTTGCTTTGTATATCCCACATCCTTCAACCATTTCCAAATTACAACTAAAAACCTTAACTATCAAACTACTTTCATTTCAACCCCTAAACACTAAAACCTCTTAAACTGTCATCATCCTCTAACAGTGGAATCAGAGCTCAATTGATCGTAAGTGGGCATTAGAGTCTATATGGCCACCACAAATTCATCACAATCTATCTCTGTGCCACTTCCCATTTTTGATGGTAGCAACTATGATTTGTGGGAAAAAAAAATGATGACACTCTTCGAGTCTCAAAATCTTACGGACAATATTGTTGGGAAGGGACTTACGGACAATATTGTTGAGAAGGGACTTAAGAAGCCAACAAATATCTCTATTCTAGAAGAAGCACAACAAAAGGAGGTAACAAAACAGAAGGATGCTAGTGCCCTATATTTGATTCAACAGTCACTAGCGATTAAAATTTTTCCTAGGATTAGTGAAGCTTCAACAGCAAAGCAAGCGTGGGGTACGTTGCGGAAGGAGTTTCGCGGCGATTCTGAGGTACGCATCATTAGACTCCAAATACTACGAAGAGAGTTGGAAAATATTGAAATGAAATATTCTGAGACAGTTAATGATTATCGTGGAAGAGTTAAAGTAGTGGTAAATCAAACAAGATCTGTAGGAGAACATGTTACTGATCAAAGGATTGTTGAAAAATTTCTAGTTAGTCTTACATGAAAATGACTATAGTTACTACTATAAAATAATCGAAAGATTTAACAACCTTGTAAGTAGCTGAACTAATATGTTATTTAGAAGCACATGAGAAAAGACTCAGTAATACGAAGAAGACTCTATTGAGAGTCCTTTTCAGTCTAAGCTTAATGCAAGGTCTCATAATTCTAGATATATTATCGAGAAATTAATGGATCTACAATGATATTATGTAATAATAAGTCAACGATTTCTATAATAAAAATTCTTGTATTCCATAGCAGAACTAAATACATATTAATCAAATATCACTTTCTATAAAAAGCAGTTAGTAATAAAAAAATCGAGTTTGAATATTTCAAGACTGAAAAACAATTAGCAAATATATTTATGAAAGTGCTTTCATGAGTTAAGTTTAAGGTACGACTTAAAAGTATCAGTTAAGTGCATTAAGAAAGAGTGCATAAGTTAAGTTTGAGGCAGTACGATATCAACTTAGAGTATCAGTTAAGTGCAATGAGTGTTAAATTATTAATGCACTTAAAAGAAGATTCTAGAAGTCAATTCTAGAAAATACTACAAACTACAAGTTAGCGCGCTAAGTTAAATTAGAAAAGTTCTAGAGAAATTAAACAAACACTAGAAATGTTCTATGAAAGAAAGAATGCCCATTCACAATTCAAACAACTCTAGAATTTTCTAGTGAAATGGCTAAGATTCTTGCAAGTTCTATAGGTGAAAAGTTTGTCTAAGTTGTTCCATTTAGGTTGGTTAAAAGGGCTATAAATAGTCATGCAACCATCACTTGTAAGGTAAGCCAAAAACTATTCTAAGCTTAAAAACCTTTTTTTTTTAATTCTTATCCTTGTATTATATCTACTATCAACGAAGTTTTTGTTTTGTGTATCCTACATCCTTCAACCATTTCTAAACTACAAACTAAGTCTTTCTTTTACCAAACTATCAAACTAAGTTTTGTGTATCCTACATCCTTCAACTAAGTTTTTACCAAACTACTACAACTAAAAACCTTAACTATCAAACTACCTTTACTAAAATCTCTGATCACTAAAACCTCTAAACTACCTCCTAAACTACCATCATCCTCTAACTCATTTCCATTACTAAAAGGTATGTACGTGCATGACATGCTTGCAGTTCTCTTTGAATCTTTACTTACGAATTTTGTTTTCCATTATATTAATGATCGGTATTGTGTGTTAATATATTTTTTCTTAGAATTTCACATAACAGTTTGACTAGCTTTGAGTTGAGATGGTTCAAACAATAGTTACTTGCATAATTTTGTTAAAACTGCAGAAAATAAATGACTAAAACTTGCAGGGAGAGGTAGATAATTTGAGACTTAATAGTTGAAGAAGAGCAGAATACATTTCACAAATGGGAAGGCCTATTTATTGGCTTAAAACCAAACTGAAATTACTTAAAAGTCTTAACTACTATCAGATTTTATTAGCACTACTTCTACGTACCAACCGAAAACAGAAAATTAAGGAGCATGAATCTGATATGAAACAATAACAAAGACTAGGTCTAACTAAGATTGTTTCAAACTTCAGAGGCAAACTCTCATGAATTCTAACAAATTATATGTAGAGAGCATTTGAGAAAAAACGGGGAGATGCTGAGACAAAACAGGGATATGTGGAAGCAACTTATGGAGCAGCCATGGAAGGAGACTGGAAAAGAATGGTTACCTACTATCAGGAACACTGTCAGGAACATATCGAATATTTTTCCTCTCCAGTTACGGACACTTGGGATACTGTACTTCATCTAGCTATACACAGCAAAGAAGAGAAACCACTTAAAGATTTACTTGAAATCATGAAGAAAAGAGAATTACCTTTAACTACTGAGACAGAAATTCTCAAGAAAAAAAACAAATTTGGAAATACGGCTCTTCACGAGGCAACCATCTATGGCAATTATAAGGCTGTAATACTCTTGGTAGAACGTTGTCCAGAGCTACTTTCGATTCCAAATGAGTTCGGTGAAACCCCGTTGTTTACAGCTGCCGGATTTGCGAAGACAGAAATAGTAGAGTATTTAATCAGACACAATCCAGAACAATGCGTGGATGATAATGGCCGCCTATTACCAACTCACAGCAAGCGATCGGTTCCATCGGGAGATGACCTGTCCATCCTTAGCGCTGCTATCATAGGGCAAAAATTTGGTAGCAATTCCTCTCTTTATTGTATTCTCAAATTTAAAAAGTATACATATATAAGATATTGTATAATTTTTGTCTTCCTAATTTCATGAATGCAGAAACAGCTTTACTGTTGCTGGAATTGGATAAATCGCTCGCCAACTTGAAGGACAAAAATCAAATATCTACTCTTCAACTTCTAGCCGAAATGCCAGCTGCTTTTGAGAGTGGATTTCCCATGGGCATATTTGAAAGACTCATCCACTGTTGTATGCCTACTCCAACCACATTATTAGACCTTACAATATTGCCTACATATTCTTGTTTGAATACCATGGACATACACATACATATATATGTATATAATTTGAACTCTAAATTATGTTGCAGGCCTTCCTGTTAAACGTCACCACGAGGTAAAATCACAGGTACAAACTTGGTGCCCGGAAAATAAGAGAGATCTTGAGAGCGGTCGGGGGAGGAACTCAGGAGATCCTGGGAGTTTCTCGGAGAGGAATCAAAGAGGCGGCATACTCAAAAATTTAAAGGTCCCTGAAGGTATTGTTGAGCTACCTTATATATGAGATTAGATCAAGTTCTCCAATGCAATGAAACACATTTCATTCATGTCAGCATTAAGGAATCATAAGAATTTAAATTTCATGGCTTGACCCGATATTTGAATCCTGTAGCCAATATTAGTTCTTTTATATAACCGAGTCGCTGTTTCTTTTTTTAGCGGACACGGGCTACACAAGCAGAGTAGTTCTTCCCAATTGTTGACACCAATCGAGCTTACATCTCATTGTCACTTAAAAAGGTGTATTAGTGAATTAATATAAATTTACTTTTTAAGATAATAATTTAAACATTTACATCGAGATGAATTATTTACAAACACAAACCTTATGCTTGAAACAAATGTTACAAAGAGGTTTTCGTTCACATCCTATTTTTAGATGCTTACGCAAATAATCCTTGTGCTTCCACTAAATTTAGTTTTCACCTTTTACTATCATTATTGACATTTCTTTCCATTTCATAATAATGTCTAGCTCTCACCCATGTTTAATTTCATTCCCTTTCGCACGATCATGATGTAGGATGCTGGCTAGAAAGAATCTGGAACCAGAAAAGAAAGCATGTATTTGCTTTGGAATTCGCCAAAAGCCTAATAAAGGAAGATGATTCTTTTAAACGAGTCACCAAAACGGAGGAAGAGCAAGAAACGCGTGCGCAAACTTCTCAAAACACTCCTGTATTGTCATCATTAACTACTAAAAAGGAGATCCCATTGTTTACTGCAACTAGAAGGGGAATAGAAAAGATTGTGGAGCTGATAATAAGGCTACATCCTCATGCAATTGACCAGCGCGATGAAATGAATCGGAGCATTTTGGATGTGGCCGTCATGTATCGCCAGGAAAAAATCTTCGATATTGTGAAGGAAAAGAAAATACCATTCGCTAGAATGCGTCGAGTTGTTGATATTAGCGGCAACACATTGTTGCACCATGTTGCAGATATGATAAAAAACAGTGGAGTAACCAAGCCTGGGCCTGCACTCCAACTTCAGGAGGAGTTGAAATGGTTTGAGGTGAGCCCTTTTCATCCCTTTGTCTTTACTTGATACAAGTTTTACAGAAACCGTTAAACGGTAAAAAGATTCCTCTCCAAGACGCGAGTAATAAAACTTGAACTTAATTAAAACATCAGGCTGAACTAGTTCTCCTAACCAACTACTTAGGGAAAAACTTTAATATTATTCACAAATAAAAACTATCTGCGCTCTAGTAATAACATTTCTGTAATTCGTGGTATTATTTAGCAATAACAATCATATTTATCTCCCAATTATTGCAGCGAGTGCAAGACGTAATTCCTTCTTATTATGTCCCGCTTCTGAACAAAGATGGAAAGACTGCAAAAGAGTGCTTCGAAATAGCGCACGAGGAGCAACTGAACAAGGCACAAATATGGATTAAGGAAACATCACAGTCTTGTTCCACAGTAGCTGCACTTGTTGCAACTGTTGTCTTTGCTGCTGCCTATACTGTGCCCGGAGGTTCTGATGAAAAAGGCAAGCCCATCTTCATCAACTCTCCCTATTTTCTGATTTTCACTGTCTCTGATGTTGTCTCCTTAGCAAGCTCCTTGACTTCGCTTGTGGTGTTTCTCTCTTTGTTGACCTCTCCATTTGAGCTACAAGAATTCCACATCTCTCTTCCTCGAAAACTTATTGTTGGCTTCTCCTTCCTCTTCTTTTCTGTGTTAACGACCATGCTATCCTTTGGCGCAACAATTTTGATACTCATTCAGACAGAGAGGAGGTTGACAACATTACTCCTTTCTATTGCGTCATTCCTTCCTGTCTTAATATTTGGAATATTGCAATTCCGTCTGTACGTCTCCTTTATGGGCTCTACATTCAACATTCTCAAGAAAAACTGGAAGCTCATCCATCGTTCCTAGTCCCTTGCCTACCATGTAGGGAGACTAAAGTGGCATAGAGGTTTTTCCTTTTTATTGTTGGTTTGAACCTCTACTATTGATCACTATATATTGAGTGATACAGAATGCTTGAGTGTTCAATTTCGTGATATTTATGAGGTTGTGCTATCTTTAATGATGGCCTTAGAAGTCAGTATGTGTTATATATAGTGTGTAATAGGTTCTGATATGAAGTTAGGACTAACATCTTGCTTCAATCGGTTACTTGTAGTAAAATTGGGTGTAAGTTTATGGTTATTATTATTAATGGATATCTCTCTTCGATTTTCTCAATCAGCTTGAGGGGGATTATTTATTGTATTCCACGGCACTACTAGGTATTGCAAGGATCTTGATACAAGAGATTTTGATCAATCCGATATAGATTTATTTTATTTAGATTATATGGGTACCATAGTATATATAGACAAGTTCAAACCTAAAAGGATATAAATTCACCAAACAACTTATCTGACGAAAATATCTATTATTTTTAATTTAATTATTTAATGTCTTAGATGTTTTCAGAAGATTTTTATGCTGTTTTTATAGTGTTAGCTGGATATAACCACCAAAGCTCAAATTACCCTTCAAATTAGACTTAAAGTTGCTATTTAATTTAATTTTATTATTTTCCTGGTTAATTTTGAAATTTTTAGCATATATCTAGTGTTTATGTTATTTTTTATTTGAATAAGAATTATGATTGTTTTTACTTTTAAAAGTCAATTTAAAACCTATTTAAAAGGTTGTGATATCTATTTTGAAAGCAACCTATCAGAAAAAAATAATTCAATAATATCATCAATAATATGACTAATTAGTGTGCTCACATATCTTTTGCACCTATTCTTTGCGTCTCCATAATTGCATGACACATGCCTCGAAGGCTTGCAGACAATGCACAATCATGGCTAACTAATGGTTTATCCTCCGTAAAAATCACTAGATATTCCACCACTAATAATACATGTTCTTTTCCAAGAAAAAAGTTTAAAGACTACGTTTATAAATACACTTAGTCCATCAAGTTAGGTTAAAATTAAATCATGTTGTGAGTAATGCTAATTACGACAAATTCATCTAATAAACAAGAAGTATTTTAACTTAAGAGAATAGACTAAAAGAAAAAATATATGCTATTAAATCTATAATAAAACCTCTTGGTTTAGAATATCAAAAACTTGACATATGTCCAAACTTTTACATGTTATATTATTGTGAAAATACAGATTTTACAAAATACAAAACTTGTCAGCATTCTCGGTATAAACTCAAAACTAGTAGGGGAATGACACTTGTCATACATAGAAAACTAAAATACTTTTCAATCACTCAAAGGTTGCAAAGCTTATTCATGTCTTCAAAGACTTTTAAGCACATGATATGACATCATTCATGTGATATGGTGGATGGAGTCATGGCGCAAATTTTCAATGGTGAAGCTAGGAAACAATTACATCTTTGGTTATGTTTAAATTGATTCAATTCATTGGGTCATTTGTTGCACTTTATTCTTGTTGGCTATTGATACTCACAGTTTATAACTTACTTTCGTAGATGTGTATAAGGCTAGAATTCATATACTTATTTGCAATTATATCCGATCCTAATAATCCAGGTAAAAATATAGATGTTTGTCTTTGATCGTTAATTCATAAGTTGAGTCAATTAGGGTCATTCAATACTTTGACATATGGAAGCAAAATTGTCGGAAGAAGGCAACTTTAATATGGACTATCAATGACTTTCCTGTGTATGAGATTATTTCTGATTGGAGCATGAATGGAAAATTAGCTTGTTCATACTATATGAAAAATAAAAAGACCTTCATCTTAACAAATAGTGGCAAAACATCTTTTTTTTTATTGTCAATGGAAGTTCTTGCCAACCTATCATAAATATAAAAGGATTTTTTTTATAGGTAGATTTGAGAGGGATGATACACTATCGATATCATTAGGGGAAGAAATATATGATGTGGTCTCATATTACAAGGGTATTGTGGTTGGTTTTCAATCCGATAAACAGAAGTTTTCTAATTTTGATGTGACCCATAATTAGATAAAGTAAAGTGTTTTTTGGAGAGCTTTCTTATTGGAAGATGCTTTCTTATTGGAAGACTAATCTCCTCTAACATAATATGGATGTCATACATATAGAAAAGAAGATCTTTTTAACATGAAGATGGACATGAAAATGAAGACAAAGGACAACATGAAGGCTAGAATTGATATATCTTTATTTTGTCACTGTAAAAATATGGAGTTGGTTTATGATGGGTTATGGGTCACAAAACTCAAATCTAGTTTTGCCTTAAAGAAAAACACACAATTACTTTTCTAGCAATAACAAAACAGTATTTGTTTTTCTCATGGATATGTTTTGAACAAATCTAGATTGGTGAATTTAAATGATTGCAGAGTTTATGAAATGAAGAATCATGATTATCATGTGTTTATGTAAAAAAAATAAAATCATTTCACTTGCTTCTAAGGATTTATTACCAAAAACAAATATGAGATGCACTCATGAAAATCAGTTATTTTTTTAGAGATATATGCATTAGCAAGTTGCATACCCAACACATAAAGAAGCTTGAAACAAATATCATCCAAAAAATCTATAAATTTGAAATGATTTCCCGCTATTTTTGTATGACTCAATGGATCATCTACCCATTAATTTACTATTTGAGGCAAATGTCAGAGGTCATGCCTATTATAGATGAATATTGTTGCTACCTAATTTTTGACCCATGTTTTGATAAATTTTTAGAAAAATCCAAAAATAGAGAAACACAACAAAAATCCAAAAAAATATGTTTTTTAATATATTTTTGTCATTTTAGCAAAGAAAAACACATAACTACTTTTCTAGCAATAACTAAACAGTATTTGTTTTTCTCATGGACATGTTTTGAACAAATCTAGATTGGTGAATTTAAATGATTGCAGAGTTTATGAAATGAAGAATCATGATTATCATGTGTTTATGTAAAAAAAATAAAATCATTTCACTTGCTTCTAAGGATTTATTACCAAAAACAAATATGAGATGCACTCATGAAAATCAGTTATTTTTTTAGAGATATATGCATTAGCAAGTTGCATACCCAACACATAAAGAAGCTTGAAACAAATATCATCCAAAAAATCTATAAATTTGAAATGATTTCCCGCTATTTTTGTATGACTCAATGGATCATCTACCCATTAATTTACTATTTGAGGCAAATGTCAGAGGTCATGCCTATTATAGATGAATATTGTTGCTACCTAATTTTTGACCCATGTTTTGATAAATTTTTAGAAAAATCCAAAAATAGAGAAACACAACAAAAATCCAAAAAAATATGTTTTTTAATATATTTTTTTCATTTTAGCATTTTCAATATCGTCTAAAAAAGAATTTAAATTTTTAAGGGTCTTTCGAATGCGTTCGACTTTTCACATGTTATTTTTTAAATCATTGATTTTCGTCATCGAGTCGACGTTGATATTGCTCGTTTTCAAAATATACAAAAAAATTAAGAAAAATCAAATTTTACAAAAAGAAAGAAGTTGAGGGACCAAGTTTGAAAACCTAGCAACATTTTTACCTATAAATACTGGTCTCCAACTGATTAGTACTTAAAAGTGCATTTTTATCAAGGTTTTATATCATCATTTTGCACTTGAAGTATCAATAACTCCTTAACTAAAGCATGTTTTATAATAATATATCTAATAATACAAGATACCTTTAATTT